AAAGGTCACTACAAAGACAGGAAAGAAATACAAGATCAAAATGGACATCAGAAGAGCCTCTAAAGTTGCTGTTGCATGTAGAGAAGTTAAGGTGAGAAGAAAAAATGAAGCAGTAAGAGAACTGGACAGATTTCAAAGGGCAACTTGAGAAGAGAAATCAAAGTGTTATAAAGAAATGGGCACAAAGACATGGAGGGAGGACGCCCAAAGGGAAGAGCATGCTGGGCGCTCCTCAAGCTCAAAGGAACCGAAGAACAACTAAATCCTTGAGGCGCAGCATGGAAGAATTCTATAGGCAAAATACTGAATGACGCAGGAAGCATTAAAAGAAGATGGAAAGAGGGGCTAAGTAATGTACACTGCATTGAAACAGATGAGGAACAGAGCTGCTTAAAAGGAATATATAACTAGATATTATTTGTATAACAACAGTACAGAATAAGAGCTGCATAGTCAAGTGGACTGGGGGATTGTACAACAATGAAAGGATTTTTTTCCAGAGAGAAGCGAACTGGGGCTGGGAGGTAGGCACGGAGGATAATGTGCAACAATGAATGAATGAACATCCAAATTCTGGATTGTTGTTATGTGCCGTCGAGTCGCTATAGCGACCCTATGTACAACAGCCCTAAACCCTGCTCTGTCCTGTGCCAATTGCACTGTCTCTGACACTCCCATCCCGATTACCCCAGTCACTGAATCAATCCACCTCATAGAGGGCTTTCCCCTCCTGCACCGTCCCTCCACCCTCCCAAGCATGATGTTCCTCTCCAAGAACTGGTCTCTCCTCACAACATATCCAAAGTATGTTAGATGGAGCCTCAGAATCCTTGCCTCCAAGGAACCACCTGGTTTAACCCTTTCCAGGACAAATCTGTTTGTTTTCCTAGCAGTCCATGGTATTCTCAATACTCTTCTCCAGCACCATACTCTTCTCCAGCACCACAGCTCAAAGACATCAATTCTCCTTCTATCCTCCTTGGTCGTTGTCCAACTCTCTGATGCATAGCAAGTGATTGCAAAGACCATGGCCCGTATCAGATGCACCTTAGTCTCCAGAGAGACATCATTGCTCTTCAGTACTTTAGAGAGGTCCCTAACAGCAGACAATACGTCTTTTAATTTCCTGGCTACTGGTGCTGAGAGTGTTGACTGTGGAGCCAAGCAAACTAAAGCTGTGAACAATCTCAATCTCTTCACCTTCCATCCTGATGCTGCCCATTGGTCCAGTGGTGAGAATCTTTGTCTTCTTTACATTGAGCCTCAATCTATATTGGAGGATGCAGTCCTTGATACTCTGCAGCAAGCGCTTCAGGTCTTCCTCAGTTTCAGCAAGCAGGGTTGTGTCATCTGCATAATGCAGATTATTAATAGATCTTCCACCAATCTTGACCCCACATTTCTCCCCACAGAGCCCAGCCTCCCGGATAATCTGTTCTGCATACAGGTTGAAAAGGTATGGAGACAGGACACATCACTGGCGTACGCCCTTCCCAATTTTGAACCATGCAGTGTTACCCTGCTCTGTTCTTACGACTGCCTCTTGGTCCAAGTATAGGTTTTGCATTAGAACTCTCAAGTGCTCTGGGACTCCCATTCTTCTCAGAGTCAGTCACAGTTTGTTATGATCCACACAGTCAAATGCCTTTGCATATTCAATGAAGTCCTGGATAAACTTTGATTAAAATGTCAACTAAAAAATAAAGAGAAAAATATTTAAAAAACAAAAGAAGATGGGAAAGAATACAGAGTCTCTGTGCCAAGATATTCACTGGAGAGGGACATCATGCTTGGGAAGGTGGAGGGACAGCGGAGGAGAGGAAGACCCTCAGTCAGGTGGACTGACGCAGTGTCTACAGCCATGGGCTCTCGTGTGTCGGAGGTGATGAGGATGGCACAGGACAGGACAGGGTTCAGATCTGTTGTCCACAGGGTCACTATGAGTCCTACTTGTCTCAATGGCACTTAACAACAACAACGGCACCAAAGAATTGGCTGGTGATCCACTGTTTCAGGAAGTAGCATATGATCAAGGGCCCAGGGCACTGATGGAAGAAGTCCAAGCCTCACTGAAGAAGACACTGGCAAAAACAGAGCTCTACCACCAACTGCACTGTTTCAACGCGAGGATGCAGCCCTGGTCATGATCACTTGCCTACGTCAAGGAATCTGCAAAGACAGCTACCTGGCCAACTGACTGACAGAACTTCCTAGCCAACAGAAGGCAGAAATTACTGAACGGTATCGTATGCAAGTACAATCTTGCTGAACACTATTCAAGCTTGACTGAAACAGTATTCAAGGCAGAATTTCAAGCTGGGTTCAGAAGAGCCTATGGAAGGAGGGATGTAATTGTTGACTCCACATGAATCTAGGTGGAAAGCAGAGACTGCCAGAAAGATGCTCACTTACATTTTACTGACTGTGACAAGGCATTATCCTAAGTGGTTAATAACAAATTATGGTCGATGTGGAAAATAATAGCAATTCAAGAACATGTAACTGTGCTTATGCAGAAAATATATACAGATCAAGAAGCAATGGTTCAAACAGAACAAGGGGGTATTCTGTGGTTTCAAATGAGAAAAAGAGAAGCCTGTCAAGGTTCTATCCTGTCACCAGCCTTATTTAGTCTGTTTGCTGAGCAAAGACTCCAACATGCTGGATTGACATGAAGAAGAATATAGCATCAGGGTTGCAAGAAGACTAATCACTTGAAAAATGCAGGCAACACAGCTTTACTTGCTGAAATCACAGGAGACTTGAAGGCTAAAACCTTCCCTCTGGACGACACCTCGATATGAAGAAAATAAAATTCTTCACAGCTGAACCCGCAGCAACACGTGATAAACAGAGGGAAGATTCAAGTTGCCCAGGATTTAGTTTTATTTGGATCTGCCATCAAGCTAATGGCAGCAGCAGCGAGGAACTCTGACGGGTGCAGTGGGCAAATCCATTGCTAACGGTAACACAGAATTACTGTGGTAATACAGTTACAGTAGGGTGTGCTTTAATAGAGCAGTGAAGCAGGCGGCAAGGCAGATGCCAGGCCACAAGACCATCAAGGAACCAAGGAGCCCACAGATCGAGCCTTCCCGCAGGGCTGTTGCCCTGAATTCAGACTTCCAGCTTCTGGACGGATGTAAATTTAAAGACTAAGGTATGGCCTGCTCCACGTCATGGTATTCTCAACTGCTTCCTATGCATCTGAAAATTGGGCAGTGAATAAGGAAGATATGCTGCATTGGGAAAACCTGCTGTTAGGCACCTCTCCAGAGGACTAAAGAGCAATGATGCCTACTTAAAGACTAAGGTGTGCCTGACTCAGGTCATGTCTTTTCAGTCCCTTGCTATATATCTGAGAGCTGGACAATGAATGATTACGGATGATAGAAGAATTGATGCCTCTTCATTGTGGAGTTGGAGAAGAGTCCAGAATGTCCCATGGATTGCCAAAGATATGTCTCGGAAGAAGGGCAATCAGGGTGTTTCTTGGAGGCAAAGATGGTGAAACTTTGTCACATAGACCTTGGGCATGTAGTCAGGAGGGGTCCAGTCTTTGGAAAACTGGCATCATTCTGGGATATGGGGAGTGGGAGGGTCAGAGTAAGAGAGGAAGACCCTCAGTGGCATGGACTGACACAGTGACTGTAACAGTGTGTTTGGACACGGCGGAGATTGTTGAGGATGGAGAGGGCTGCTGTTCACAGAGTCTGTTAGTTGTACCTGACTCAACAGGATCTCATAATGATAACAACAGCTCCCTAAACCTTGAAAAGATGAACTGCTGTTTGTTAAAATCACCTCCTTGTGGTTGCCGTGAGCTGGAGTGATGCCTCAGCCACGCAGCCCCCCTGCCCCCAAGTGGGAAAAGCAGTGGCAGATGCTTCACTGGCGGAGCTGGTCGCCAAGTGGTGGGACTTGAAGTTCAGTCCACCCAGGACACCGGTGTAGCGCCTGACAGGAACCCCTTACACCTTCGCAGGCAGCCATGGGGCACGCGTGCCAACTGCCAAGAGGAGGGCCGGCACTCAAAGACTGACCATCGCAATGCCTTCTGTCTATGGGCTGAGATGACCTTGACCTGTGGACTATCCCTCAGCCTACAGACAAGCCCTGGACAATTCTGCCGGAGGCCACCCTCCACTGTGCTCTCCTCCTCTGCTTGCTTTCTTCCCCCTCTGAGCCTCTCTCGTCCAGCTTTCCCAGTCCCGTCCTGTGGGCTTTGAGGCTGTCTGCCCACCTGCCCTTTCCATGACCCACCCACTGTTAACGCAGGGTCTCCCATGACAAGGGAGCCCAGAGGCCCCACACCACTTGCCCTGGCAGCGTACCGGGCTATCTGGTTGGCTCCAGCCAGCTTCACACTCCTAGCCTACACCGAGTGTTAGTTACTCCTGCTCCATCAGGCCCCTGCCTCTCTGAACCCAGAGAAGGAGGCCGCAGGGCAGGACACTGTTGCTTCTCTGAGAACTTGGCCAAGGGCAGGCGGGGAAGTCTAGTCCCAAAGTGGCCAGCTCACCTGTCCTCACCAGGCACCTGTTACCCACACCGGCTGCTTCCACAGATGAGACCCCAAAAGGGGCAGGGCTTCCTGCCTCAGCTCCCATCACTCAGCCCTACCAGCCAGGGCCACCTAGCCTGGGATTCTCCTGGAGATGGGGCCGACCATGGGGACACACACCGCAGCCCACAACTGGCCTTTGTGTACAGCGATACTGAGGAACCCCAATGCTAGATTCAGGCATGGGAATCAGGGCCTGGTTGAGGCTGGGGACCGTGGATTCTCTGAGGTGCCTATCACCGAACCTCTTCCAGCCTCAGAGACCTGAACTCACAGCAGAGGCTGGAAGCGCTCTCTGTGCATGTGGGGCAGGAGGGTGAGTGGTTGGAATGGGGGGCCCTGGACAAAACGAGGGACGAGAGTCTCCACTGGTGGATGTCAGCTGCTGGGGAGGGCAGGGCGGCAGCACCCGGGGCGGGGCATCTCCTGTAGGTACCTGGCCTCGGCGCGTCTCACAGTTGTGGAGGTAGCTCAGGTGGTAGATCTTCAGGTTCAATGCCGCAAAATTCAGGTACTTCAAGAAAATCTGAAAGAGATGAATCACAGCAAGAGTTAAGGATGTGTCCAGAGGGGGCGCTGTGCACACAACCTTGAACTTGACCACACGGGAAGTGCTCAGAGGGGGCGCTGTGCACACAACCTTGAACTTGAGCACACAGAAAGTGCTCAGAGGGGGCGCTGTGCACTCAACCTTGAACTTGAGCACACAGAAAGTGCTCAGAGGGGGCACTGTGCATGCAACCTTGGACTTGTCCACAGAGGTTATCCGAGAAGGGGGGCTGTGCACACACAACCTTGGACTTATCAACACGAGATGTTCCAGGGGAGCAGAGAGGAGGTTGTATACACAACCTTGGACTTGATCCCATGGGATGCACTCAGAGGGGGCACAGTGTGCGCATAGTAGCCAACACAGACCTCTACGCCCAGGAAGCACAGAGTGGGACACAGCACATGCAGGGCTGGGTTGAGATATGGGGTGTTTGTGGAGCTGGTCCCAACCCACAGCAACCCACACCCCACAGGACAAAAGTGCCAGGCCTTGCAAACTGGTTTGCAAGGTTTTCCCTGGCTGGTATTTTACAGATCCCAGGCCTTTCTTCCTATTCTCTCTTCATCTGGAAGCTCCTTTGAAACTTATTCCACATCAAGGTAACAGGCAAGCCTCTCCTGACTGAGGGATGATAGCTGGGCATGAAATGCCTTGGCTGGGACTGAACCTGGGTCTCTTGCATGAAAGGCAAGAATTCTACCACTGAGTCACCACTGGTCCTTGAGGGGCTGTGTCCACATGGACATACACAGGAAGACGCAGACACACATGCAGAGCGGGGACACGGACAGACCACACAGAGAGCCACTCACGTCCTCGTCATCGCTGGTGAAGTACGGGCCAGTCAGCTTGTTGACAGCCATGATGACAGCCACCACGTCCTTGCCATTCATCACGGGCGTGGCCAGGATGTTCTTGGTCACGTACTCGGTGAGCTCGTCCGCGAATGGGCTGAAGTGGGGGCACTGGGTTGGGGAGACAGGGAGGGAGGGCACTGCTCAGGGGTGGGGGTCCCCGCATGTCTGGCCCCTGGGGACAGGGCCCACTTCTGGGGAGACCACCACCTTGGCAGGGGCTGCGACAGCAGGTGCCCTGGACATGGATCATGGTTGGGGGGACTTGTGAAAGATGAAGAATGACTAAGTGTCCACTCAGGCTTGACCCTCACTGTCTCCCTCTTTTGATGTCAGGACATGCGTCCCACCTCCCACCGCTATACTCTCACCTTCTGACATTGGAGGCAGACCACACCCCTGTTTTCCACCCACCCAGCCTCATCAGCTGCCTCTGAGCCCCCACTCTCAAAAATCCAACAGGCTACTGAGACTCAGATTTCCCCCCCAACCCCCCAACCCCCCGGCCTTGTCCTGCTGCTGCTGGGGACCCAGAACAGGCCCCTTCCACACTGTCGAGCTGAGTTAACTTCGTGGAAGCTTCTCAGGCATCTGTCCTCTAACCCAGACCCCAACCCCATCCTGGCCCAGACGGGTCTCCTCCTGCCTACAGGCTAGTACCCCTGTGCACATTTCTGCTGAGCCCGCAGTGACCCATTTATGTCAGAGCAGAATTGTATCCCATGGATTGATAAGAGCTGGTTTAGTGTGGAGACCCCCACTGGACCTCTGCTTTGGGGGAGCAGTGAGTTCATTACCTTTGCACCAACCAGGACCCCCACCCACCCAGCCACACTTTTCCTTCAAAGGCTGAAAAAGAGACAGCCCAGGGCTGATCGTTGCCCTGTCCACTGGCCCCCTGGGAGGGGTCTCCACCCACTCCCACCAGTGCCAGGATGGCTTCTCTGAGCTGCTGCCCTGCTCTGGGCACAGACAGGAGCCACCAAGTTCTTCCACCACCAGAAGCAAGTCTGTTGATCTGAGCTTCTGCCCAGACGTGCTGGGCACAGAAAACAGGTAGCCCAGGGGAGCAGTCACCTTCTAAGATGCTCAGGCGACTCAGTGGTTAAAGCAGTCAGCTGCTAACTGAGAGGCTGGCAGTTCAAATCCACCTGCTGCTCCGTGGGAGAACCGTGAGACCGTCTGTGTGAAGCTGTACAGTCGTGGAAGTCCTCGGGGCAGCCTTCTCTGCCCCGTGGTGTCACGATGAGCTGAAATCAACTCAAAGGCAGAGAATCTGGTTTTACGTAGAAGGGGTGGATGTACCCCTGACTTCATCCTTGACCTGCTGGGTTCTGAGATTTATTTACCAGGCGACAAGGTGACAAATTAGGCCGCACTGCTCCAAAGTTCAGAGGCTGGTGAGGTCTGTGACTTGCAGTGGGGAGCCTGGTCTGTGGCCCCTCTCTGTCCTGGCCGGCTGGACCTTAGCAGCCCCTGCCTCTTTACCTTTCAGGTCTCGTTACTCATCCCCAGGTGCCAACGGCTGCACTCAGGCTACGGGCCCACAGGTCAGCAGTTCAAATCCACCCAGTGGTTCCATGGAAGAAAAGGGCTGGCGAGCTGCTTCCATGAAGATCAGAGCCAAGAAATCCCGATGGCCCAGCTCTCTGCACACGGCCTCCTGGGAGGAGGGCGGACTCCATGGCAACACGGCCGGTCCACGTGATCTCCATCGCCTTCCTCCACCATGGAGCGCTGGGTGCGGCCAATGGCTCTTCTCTCCACCATCCGCTGGGCTTCGAAGACTGAGGTGCATCTCAGCCAAGCTACGGTGTTTCCCATCCGTTCTCACGCATGTGAAAACCGGGCAGCGGATGAAGACCAAAGGAGAATCGATGCCCTTGAATCACCGTGGGAGTCGATGCTGTTGAACCGAGTTTGACTCCGAGAGTCCCGGTGAACAACAGGCCTGAACCCTGTCCCATCCTGTGCTGTCCTTGTCTCTGACACAGTCAACACCATTGTGCAGTCACTGTGTTAATCCAACTCTCTCTCTCTCTCTCTGTGTGTCTTCCTCTCTTTCACTGACCCTCCACCTTTCCAGGCATGATGTCCCTCTCCAAGGAAGACCCTGCACAAGATGGGCTGACTCGGTGACTGGGCTTCAGCCCGGGCGAGGCAGTGAGACGACCCAGGACTGGGCAGTGTGTCACCCTGTGTACATTTGGCTGCTACTGGTTGGAGCTGACATGGCAGCATCTACTAGTGGTAATGGGAGCTCTGGTGATAAGAAGCTGTGCTGCAGTCCCCAAGGTGCACGGTTCGAATCCACCAGCTGCCCCGCAGGAGAAGGATGTGTAAGCTCCTCCTGTGTGACCTACGGCCTCTGAAAGCCCAGTGGAGGGAGGCTGGGCTGGGAGTCGGTTCTGACTCGACAGTGCTGAGGACAGACCTCACTGAGGACAGACCTCCGTGCCCGGCTTGCATCACCAAGCTGTCACCTTCTCAGTCACTGCCGCCCGGCCGCCCCCTCACGGGATGGATGGCCCTGCAGAGGGAGCCCCTGGCCTCTGCAGGGCACTTCTCCCTTCTTTAAACCCCTGGCAGCTCCCACCATCGACAATGCCTCTTAAACATGGGTGAAACTGAGGCAGAAAGAGGTGTAGAAGGACCCCACCTATGGGCCAATCATGGGGCTCCCCACGTAGGTCCCCCACTACTGCTCCTCCAACATCTTGGCTCATGGATCTCTGCACCTTCAATTCTAACCAGACTCTGCCCCTTTCCAGCCTCTGTGGGATCCCAAGGGCTGTTACCCCACTCTCCTAAGGCCCTGCAGACCCCCTACTGCCCCATGCCACTGCTCCTCATGACTTTATGTCTGCATTCCAGGGTGTCCAGTGGCATTCCAGAGCCTTAAGCATTCTGGGGTGTTCAGTGGCATCCCAGGACCCTAAGCTTTCTGGGGTGTCCAGCGGCTTCCTGCTGGCCCCCTGCCCTCTCCATCTCTGTCCTTTCTCTTTGACCTCACAGCAAAGATGTTCGCCGGCTCCACCCTCTGCCATCTGATAAAGATGTCTGTCTGTCTGTCTGTCTGGCCAGGCACAGCCGCACACACATAAGCCTTGATGTTCTCAACACTGGTGGCTCTGGGAGGCTCGGTTTACGTCTCCCCCAGAGAGGCTCCTCTCAGCCCCAGGCCAGGTTGCACCCCCAGGACAGGCTGTTGGGGCAGGGGGCTCCAAGACCATGCCAACCTCGCCCAAGAGGCTGGGCTTCCACAAATCAGGGAGCTGGTCCCCGAGGGCCTCTGGCCAGTAGTCCTGCACTCAGGTCCTGGGCACGGCCTGCTCAGCCCTTGGGTCAGGCGGCAGAGGGGGCACAGGCTGTCCAGCGTGGTCCTGCCTGCTGTGGCCTGGCATCCTCTCCCTAGGAATCCATACCTACGTCCTTTCTGCCATGAGCTCCCTGCCTCCTGGTCTCCCAGGTTGTCTTCTGCTGCTCAAGACCTTGAGGGACCCGTGGGGGGCCTGTTAACTCAGGCTCTCTTCTGTGCAGGGTTCCCATCGGCTGCATGCTCTGGTTCTTGGCAACTGCTAACAAGGCCCCACTGGGTTGTGTGCAGGCCTGACTCCTGGAGTCCCATAACGTCAAGGAAGAGCTGTGCAAAATGGGTTTTTCTGCAAGTGGATTGCCAGGTCTCCTTGAGAGGCACTTCTGAGTGGGCCTGACCTTGGAGTGTTTGGGCCAGTGAGTCAGAGCTCAGTCTCTCGCTGGTTGTGGTGTGCCATCTAGTCAGAATGACTCATAGCTGACCCGCCAGTGGGTTTTCAGAGGCACTCAGTCCCACAGGTGTTGACTGCCCATCCGTCTCCCAAGGAACAGCCACTGGATTCGAACCATGTAACTTTGTATTGCCAGTGCACTTCCTTACCACGACCTACTACTGCCTCTGTGTTGGTTCTGATGCACTGCAGCCCTCAATGGAGTTTGCAAGGCTATTCATCTTTGTGGGAGGAGACCGTCCATCTTTCTCTCACAGGGCCCCTGGTGGATTTGAACTTCCGACCTCACGGTCACATTAGGGCTCCTTTCCCTCGGGCATCATTATTTACCTGATGGATTTTGAGTCTGGCTCAGTCTCACCACATAATGTAGAAGAGCCCCCTGCCCCAGGGCCCCCAAACTCTCCTCCTTAGATAGGTTTGGGGGCTCTGCAACACCCTACAAGGGAGGTACTGGGGGGGCCCCAGGCTGGGAAGACTTGGTGGGGTTGAGGAGGTGCAGGCGAGGCCTGGGGTCAGGGAACGCCTCTGGAGGACATGTGGAGCAGGGGACACGCAGCCGCGGAGACACAACTGCGCTTCTGTGACTCCCACACGCTGACACCCCTCTGACTCACCATGGGTGACCCATTTCTTAAAAGGAAACGGAGATGGGCCTAATCGCAGAGATTAGGGTTCTATTCAGGGCGCGGCTTGCTGGGTGCAGATAAGAGGATTGAGCCCCTGTGTACCTATCCCTTTGTTTCCAGGAGTGGGGTGGCCAAGCTCTGCTCAGGGGGTCTGGGGCTCAGTCACTGGAATGGAGGAGGGGTCTCCCAGACTCCTTGTCCCTGAGAAGGCTCGGGGAGGGCAGGGCTGGGCAATACAGCCCCCGCTTCTTTGAAGCCCGGCCATTCAGTGGTCCCACCTGCTGGTTCCCTGTGTCTCTGTCCCCAACACAATGCCTGTTGTTGTGGTGGTGGTTGGGTGCCTTCAAGTACAACTCATAGCGACCCTCTCAATCCTGTCCTGTCCTGAGCCATCCATATCATCTATCTCCAGCATACTTCAGCCCACTGCTGCGATCACTGCATCAATCCATCTCATTGAGGTGTGTGTGTGGGGTTCTTCTCTTTCACGGACTTTCCACCTTTCCAAACACGAAGTTCCTTTCCCAGGAGTGGTCTCTCCTAGCATCATGCCCTAAGAATGCGAGAGGAAGCTTCGCTCCCTCCTTGCATCCAAGGAGCACTCTGGCTGTACTCTCGCCAAGACACAGCTGTGTGTTCTCCCAGCAGCCCGTGGCTGTTCAGTGCTCTTCTCCAGCACTACAGCTCAAAGGCATCAGCTCTTCTGACACCCTTATTCCAAACCAACAGGCCCTGCAATCCTGTGCCACCACAGCACCTCTGTCCACCTGCACGAGTAGCCAGCTGTCATTGGGCAGATCCTGTGCTGTTCTTTGTCCTGCCTCCCAAGTGGTATCCCTGTCCCTCTCTGGGACAGGGTCACTATAGAACTTTGAGGAGCCCATCATCACACAGTCCTGTGACAAGCCCTGCTGTCCACCCTCATCTTCCTCCCTAAACCCCAGCTGCTTCTCTTCTCTCCCCCTGCCCCGACCCCACACCCCTCCAGAGTCCTGGGCAGAGACTGGCTAGGTGCTCGCTGCCTTGGCCATCTTGTCTGGTCACCCCAGACAGGCTCCTTTCTGCTCTGACTCCAGGTGACCTGACGACCCCACTTGGATCGCCCTCCCACGATGGCCCCTCCCAAGGTACCTGGGGTCCCTGAGGCCCACCCTCAGGACCCAGACACAGTAACAGAGCATGACAGTTCATCTGAGTCCACGTTAACGCGACTCTCAGCCACACCTGCAGTTCTGGTCACATCTACCAAATATGCATGTGTGACCACTGGGGTCAACTCGGGGGGAGGCACAGAAGGGCGCACTCCGGCCCCTGCAGGGCTCAGAGGCAGACCCAGACCACAGAAGGAAACACCAGTCCTCGAGCAGGGACTTCTCCCGGGAGAGATGGGCGGGTGGCGGTGAGCCTGCGGGTGTGCCTCTTTTGAGGGGCAAGGGAGCCCGAGGAGGCCGGTGGGACCCCTGGGCCAGAGTGACCCGGAAGATAGCTTGTTCTTATTGGGGGGACAGCCAACTGAAAGAGTGGAGGTTCGAGGCCGCCCTGAGAAAACCTGGAAGAGCAACCTGACAGCCTATTTCCAAAACTATTTTTTAAAGCCCCTCCTGACACCCCAGCCGTGCTGACTCAGGGCACCCTCCTTCCCTGTGCAAGGCAAGGCGTGTCGCCACCCTCACGCCTGAGCGTTCAGCTCCTAACTTCAAGGCCGTGCTTTCAAATCCTCCCAGAGGCAGGAGCCACGGAGGAAAGGGCTGGCGATCTGCTTACAAAAGACCAGCTCCGCACTGGAGCTCTAGGATTCTACACCGACACCCCTGACTTCCGCTAAGAGTTGAGGTGGATGCCTCTGCGACTCGTGAACCTTCAGAACCAGATCTCCAGCCCTTTCTTGTGCGGCACCTCTGGCCTTCTCATTGCTGGTCCACCGCTTGTCGGTCCTCTAGGAACCCGTCCTTGGACCCTGTGCCACCACGCACCCCCTGGACGCAGCCCCGCCGACTGCACCCGGCCACCTCGGGACCCACCTCGTTCACGTCCTGCACGTTGACCATCTTCTTGGTCTGCGCCACGTGGCCCACCACGCCGATGTCGAGCGGGAAGACGATCTCGCTGTCGGGCGGCACCAGGCACTCCTCGAGCGCGCTGTGCGGCTGCACGCTGAAGAGGCGGGTGGCCAGCTCAGCCACGCCGTTACGCTGCCGGTACATGAAGAGGCTGCAGCGGTCGGCGCCCAGCACTGCGCACAGGCGCCTCAGGATCTTGAAGACCACGCGCTCCATGTTCACGTTCTCCTGCATGTCCTGCACCAGCTCGAACAGCGCCGCGCTCTCCTCCACCTGGCACAGCTCGCGGAAGCTGGCGCAGTCCCCCGCGCGCAGCGCCTCGGCCCCCGCCGCCGCCGCCGCATGCTCGGGGCTCAGCTGCCGCTCGAAGTAGCGCGCGGCGAAGTCGGGGTTCTCCTCCAGGAACCGCCGCGCGTCCTCCTCGCTCAGGCTCATGGTGTCTCCGCGCCCCTGCCCTGCGCCGCCGCTGTGCCCGGGAGAGTCGCGCGCCCAGCAAACACTGGCATCAGCAAAGGCTTTCTTAGGAACGATTACAGGGCTGGTCAGCTGACCCCTCAGGGGCTGACCCCCCCTTTCACCCCGGATTTCCGCCCCTGCAGGAAGCAAACTCTCCAGGCAGGGGGCCGGGGGACTGCTCGGCCAGGGTGTCCTGGCTGGTGCAGGTGTCGTGGGCAGCTGGAGCCCCTCACGTCTAATCCCAGGAGGGCTGGAGTTCCCCCGCACAGGGTGACCTCTCTACTTGGGATGCTACCAGGTGCGCTTCAACAGGTGTCCGGATCTGGGCTCGGGTGCGCTGGAGAGACAGGATAGCAGCCGTGTCTGGGGGGCGGGGGCAGGGCTCCCAGGCTGGGTGAGGAAGGCACCTCTGATGAAGAAGCATCAGCATCTGCCCTGTGAGAAGCACCGCACGGAGCCGGGAGCCTGGGCGCAGAGGGGTGTTTACTCAGTCCCATGGAGACCCCTGCAGGCATCCATCCTTTTTTTGGGGACCTGTGGCTTCATCTCCTAGCGGAGAGGCTGGCACGAGAGAGGGTCTCCAGAGCACATGACAGGACTTCTCTGCCAAGAACTATGCAAGGGGGATTGCGGATTGACACCCTTAACTGGAGGCCATGGGGGTGCAGACTCCAGTGCTCACAGAGAGTAAGAGGTTTGAATCCACCCAGAGGCGATTCAGAAGACAGGCCTGTCCACGTGCTTCCACAAGATCACAGGTGCTGGAAACCCTGCAGAGATGTGCACTACTCTGTCTGTCACGTGGGGCCACCAAGAGTCAGAATTCATTGGAGATGGCACGTAACAACACTCAAGTGTCTGAGGGCTGACCATCCACTTCTGCAACTGCGATGGAATTGTTATTACTCTGTGCCGTCGAGTCACCTGTGTCTACTAGCAACCCTGCACACAACAGCTCTGAACCTTGCCCTATCCTGACCAGTCTCACTGTCTGACACACCTACCACCATTGCCCCAGTCACTGTCAATCCATCTCACCTGGGGTCTTCCTCTTCTGTGCTGTCCCTCTACCCTTCCAAGTATGATGTCTTTTTCCAAGCACTGGTTCCTCCTGGCTACATGCCCAAATTATGTGAGACAGAGCTTCAGAATCCTTGCCTCCGAGGAGTAGCTTGGTTTCACCCTCTCCAGGATAAATCTGTTTGCTCTCTTGGAAGTCCAGGGTACGTCCAGTACTCTACTCCAGCATCAAAATTAAAAGGCTTAAATTTTTCTTCTGTCATCTGCGGTCATTGCACAGCTCTCTGTTGCACAGCAAGTAATTGTGAAGACCATGGCCTGGATCAGGTGCACCTTAGGCTCCAGACTGACATCGTTGTTTTTCAGCACTTTAGACAGCAGCTAACACCAAAGCAATTCATCTTTTTATATTTTGACTGCTGGTGCCAAGAATGTTGACTGTGGAGCTGTGCAAGCTGAAACTGTTAACAACTTCAATCTGTTCTCCATCCATCCTGATGCTGCCAGTTGGCCCAGTGGTGAGAATCTTTGTCTTCTTGATGTTGAACAATCCATATTGAAGGCTGCAGTTCTTGACCTTCTGCAGCAAGTGCTTAGGTCCTCCCTAGTTTTGACAAGCAATGTTTCTTCATAACATGAGTTGTTGAAGAGTCTTCCTCCAATCCCGACGTCACATTCCACCTCATAAAGTCAAGCCTCCCATATAATCTGTCCACATCAAGAATGAAATGGTATGAAGACAGGATGCATCCCTGACACCCTCCTTTCCTGATTTTGATCCATGCAATGTTTCTCTGCTCTGTTCTGAGGGCTGCTTCCTGGTCCAAGAATAGGTTTCGCATGAGCACCCTCAAGTGTTCTGGATTTCCAATTTTCTCAAGGTTAGACACAATTTCTTGTGATCCACACAGACAAATGCCTTTGCATAGACATCTCTCTGGTACTGCTCGCTTTCAAGGATAACAAAATTTAACAGAACAGCAAACTATAAATGCTGGCGAGGTTGCTGGAACTCTTATTCACTGTTGGTGGAAGTGTAAAATGGTGTAATCACTATGGAAGGCGGTATGGCGCTTCCTCAAAATATTGGAAATAGAAATACCATTTGACCCAGCAATTCCACTACTGGGAATATACCCTAAAGAAACCAGAACTGCCCCCCCTAAGCAGATATATGCACACCCATGTTTATCGTGGCTTTGTTCACAATAGCAAAGTATTGGAAACAACCTAAGTGCCTGTCAACAAATGAACGGATAGAGAAGCTGTGATATATTCACATAATGGAATACTACGCTGCATTGAAAAACAAGGAACCCATGAATTATTACATAAAATGGGTAACACTTATCCCTGCTGGACCTTTCCTAATTCCTTCACCCTTTCCCTCCGCCAATCAAACTCTGTTACCCTGGTCATTTCTTCCTCTCCTCACCCTCTGCTTGCAAAATTAGCTTTTATGAAACAAATAAAAAGATGATTTCCCAAGGGAAAAAAAAAACCCAAAATGGGTGACCCTGGAGGACATTATGCTGAGTGAAATATCTCAATCACAAAAAGACAAATACGGCATAATGCCACTGTTATGTAACTGGCCTGACATGGGAGCCGGGAGAAACTAAGAAAAGTGGAGATAAATAATGTACATGGTATTGAAGCAGATGAGGGAGAGAACCGTATAAAAGGAATATATGATTACGTATTATCAGCATGACAAGAGTCCAGAATAAGAGCTGCTTGGTAAAGTGGTGGTGGGGGGGGAGGGGACGACTGTATAACAATGAAAGACATTTTTTTCCCCAAAGAAAAAAAAGTGATCCTGGGGAGGGCAGGGAGGGGAATGTGTGACAATGAACGATTGGAAACCCAAGTTCTTTTATTTTAAAATACTTTTTTTATTTATGTCAATGAAAATTTACAGAGACTTTGGATTTCCATTCACTCATTGTTGCACTTTTCTTCCTGCCCACCCCTACCCGCCCCAGTACACTCCCCTCTTGGAAAAGTAAAAGAAAAATTCTTTCATTGTTTTACTATCTCTCCCCCCAGGTCCACTCCACTATGCAGCCTTCACGTTATTCATGACAATAATACCTAATCACATATCCCTTTTAAACAGTTTTCTCCCTCATCTGTTTCAATGCAGTATACATTATTTATCC